AGTTGGGCCCAGGCTTGGCTGACAGAGCTATCCTGTTCCTATGTCAGCCACCAAGCTGGGAGATAAACAGGAAGCCCCATCTCTCTGCAGTGCAGTGTGCTGGTCTTTCCTTCCTGAGGTGCAGCTGGCTCATACGCCTGTGCCTGCTACCCCTCGGCCTTGTACTGTCCAAGATGCCCAGGCAGGCCTCTGTCGGGACCTAGGTCTTCCCTCTCCTGGGGCTGCAGAGGCCAGACATTCAGCAGTGAGGGGTCCAAGGAAAGTCCTGGGAGACCAGGGAGGCTCTGTTCAGCCCCTGTCCCTGCACCCTACCTGGCCTGTGGGAAGGTAAGGCAACCGTGTTCCTTTAACCATCAACCTCAGAGCATTGACAGGTAGGCCAGAAGATAGCTGAGAGACATGGGGAAACTGAGGCACAGTGTGGGGAGCAGTTTCCTGACTGCAATAGTTCCTGCCTTTAGTGACACTTTAATCAGGGCGGGCTCCTGACCCAGGGCTTTAGGCCCACATATGGGCCATGCCCATCTGATCTCCAGTTTGCAGGAACTGTGGGAGATGGGGGGGTATGTGGGGTGCCTTAGTGGCAATGGGCGATGACAGACCAGAGTAGGAGGTCCCCTGGCTCCTTCCAAAGTTCAGTGACTGTAAACAAGTTCCACCAGTGAGAAGACAGGCCTGAGGCAATAGGCACTTCAGAGGTGGGGAGGGGAGTCCCTGAGCATCTCTCTAGACCATAGCTCCTTCAGCAGCTCCAGGGACCTGTTAGCCAGCTCCTCCTCCCCCCTGGTAGTCCCTCCTTCTTCTGTCCCTGACATACCCAGTGTCAAGGTGAGACTCCAGCCTGCCCTCTGTATCTGTGCCTGGTGTTGAGGGATGTCTGTGAGTCAGGTCCCATGGTGGGATTCGGGTGACAGTGTGGGGCAAAGCTGGCACACTGAGGCTCTGAAACAAGGATCTCTTTTCGTGGGTTTGTCCAAGCCTTGGCTGGGTAGGGAAAGACAGAGTAGTCAGGAGAGGAATCCAGACACATGGGCAACAGACCAGCAAGACTACCTACCCACACTGGCTTGTGGTCCTTCACAGGTCTCCATAGGCAGACCCGTGGAGCTCTTACTTGGAGTCTTCCCTCCACACATGTAAGTCTGGCAGTTTCCCTAAGCACTGAGCACCAGTGGGAGGGTGGATCACAACTCTGCCACACTCAGCCACTGCCGGCACAGCCAAGTCTGATGACTGCTTTCCCAGACAGACCGGAGTTCCCTGAGGGAAGGAGGGCGCTGCTCCTGAGCTAACCTGTTTCAGCTCTGCTCCATCTCACTGCTCACTTGGCCAAGTCCCTTCCCTCTTTGAGCCTCAGTTTCCCTTTTAGTATATGAAAGGATCTGAATTGAGCCAGTCCAATGATTGCTGATCCCTCTATGGACGAGGGAAAGGCAGATGGCTCAATACTTGAGCTGGGACACAAAAGGGCAGTCCCAGGTGACATGAGAGAGGGGTATCTCTAGGACCTGGCTCCCACTGCTGGTGGGATACTCTAGCCCTTGTGGACAGTATGAGCCCTTGGATGAAAGCAGGAGCCAAGTAGAGCAAGGCAATGGAGGGCTGAAGGTGTGGCAAGTGTGTGCCCAAAGGAGGAGGTGCGGATGGGGCCTCCACCTATCAGGTCTGCATTTAGGGCAAGAGTACCTTCTAAAATCTCTCTCTAGATCCTCAGACCAACAACATTTGAATGCCATGAGCCCCTTTAACCATTATGACTCTGTTGACCAACACCTCTCCTGTCCCCTTGGGACAAATGGGGAAACTGAGCTCTGAGAAGAGGCAAGTACTCTGTCCCCTGTGCACGGGCTGAGGACTCCAGCAGTCTCCTCCCCTGGCTGTGTTGGGGGGGGGTGCTGATGTTGAGAAGCAAGCAACAGCAGGGTGGGGGCAGCACCTCCAGCCCACCAGGAAGCTCCCAGGCTGCCCCACCTCCATCCTAGCCCAAGTTGTCCAGCTGGGTGGGGTGGGAGAGAGGTAGGGCACAGAAAGGAGATGCCCCGGGCATCACCGAGCAGGCTGAGCCAAGGCAAGGCTGGTTACCATAAGGACAGCCAGGGGTGGAAGGGTTTAGCTCTAGGCGCCCTCAGTCACTGAGGTCTGTGCACGTTCTTGGCAGCTGCCCAGTCCTCGGTGCTGCATCCTTCCCATCTACTTCCATAGGGTCTATGGGTCTCGCCTGAGTCTCCCACTGTTGAGTGTCTCACTGGCAACTGGGATCCTAGGGAATTATGGAGCCCCACTTTTGCCACTGAAAAGCCTTTCCCTTTCACAGCCTTCTGAGGCTAAGGGAGGGAGGAGAGGCTAAGAGCACCCTTTGCTCCCCCAGGGATAGTCATCCCAGGGCACCTGTGTCAACTGAACCCGGAGGTTTTCGGCTCCATCTGCACACCTCTAGAGTCAGGGGCTCACTGCCAGCCTGGGCAGCTCTCCTGGAGGGAACAGCCTGGGCTCTAAGAGAGTCTGAGCTGAGTTTGAGCCAGTGTTTGCCCCAGTCCTGGGCCTTAGGACCCACAGAAAAAGCTCTTCTCAGACCATCTGTCCTGTCTTGCCCACCCCTAGTTCCCATCCAACTGCTCACCACCAGTGCTCTTCCTTGGTCACGGCTACAGGAGAGCAGGCTTCCCCTTTCAGGTACCTACATGGCATTGCACACATCTAGGGAGGATCCAAGCTCCTGTGTCCCAAAGAACTGGAAGACCCCTTCTGTCATCCACATGGATGTATGTAGTCCTGTGGTTCCACTACCTCTGTGGAATGGGAAGGACCTGGTCACACCTCCTGTTTCATACTGTCACCAGCCAGGTTGTCCCTGAAAACAGGCTGGGGCTCTGGCTGCTTCAGGGCTAGACCCTGGAGTCCCAGGGGGACAAAACCCCCCTGCTCCCCAGTTTGCTCAGCCCCCCTCCCTTAATGCCCCCCTCAGCCCCTTGGCCTCCTGTTTGTTCGCTGACGGATCCCTGTTATCAGCAGAGAACACACACAGGAAGTCCGGCGGGAAGGGCCCATCCCAATCCCGATTTACACGGGATGGAGCATAAAAAGCCACCCTTCCTCGCCCGGGAGGAGCCTCTGTGTACCAGCAGGCTGCTGTGCAAGCCACGAGGAAGGCTGAAGCTGACAGGACAGGCGGGAAGACCTCAAGAGGGGTCTTGGGCAGCAGACTCTCCCTTGAAGGGCAGGGTGCATGATTGGCTCATGGAGGCAGCAGAGATGGCCATGGCCAGGCCTGGGCGGCATCAGGTATGCAGGATGGCCCTGCAGGGTAGAAAGTGGGTGGAGTGGGCCCTGAGTGCCCCAGGACCCAAATGAAATGGTTTCGATACCCATCAGCTGGGGTTGGGTCTGCTCAACTGTGAGGTACGCTGTCCTCACTGTTAGCCATTCTTATCTAGCAGAGGAGACCTTAGGGCCTGATGGCCCAGCACTTGTTCTGGGTGGCTCAGCCAGGACTCCACACCTCACCCCTGAATGCCCAGCAGCATGAAAGGAGAAGCTGAGAGTAGCTTAGCCCCCAACCCACCTACCTCCTGACCCCACTCTTTCTTTCTTTGGAGGATCCCCTGGGTAGGTGTCAGTTCTCAATCCAGCAGTACCCTCATCAAGGCTTATGTCCTCTACCTTGCTGAGACAGGGGTGGGAGCTCCCAAGCTTGCCATTAGTAGTAAATGAGCATTCCTGGGGAATGGAAGTGCTGGCCAGGAAATCAGGCCCTAAAGTGGGAACTCTAAAGCCACGTTTGTAACCTGGATGAGCCATGCACATGGAGGGGGTAGGACGAGCCCATCTCTTTTGGGCTTTAGGCTTAGGGACAGCTTCATGATGTGCAGTTGGGGTCACCTTGGTGATCTTATTGATCCATCTTGGCTCCTGGTGAAGCCTCTTGAGCTCCCTCTCCCTAGTACCTGAGCCCTGTTCTCAGCACCCCCTCCCCAACAACATGGGGCCTCCTGGACCCTTCTTCCACTCAGTGGCATCTCTGGGAAGCAAACCTTTTTCAGACTAGAAAATTAGTTATGTCTCAGTCTAGGTGAAGGCAGAGAAGACCAGTAAAAGCTATCTAAGTTGCCCTCTGGCCAACTGACAGTGGAAAGAGAATCACTGGTCAAAGGTGCAAATGTCCACAGCTCCAGGAGCCAAAATGGGGTGAAGGCAAGGGTTGTGCAGGTGCTCTCCCCCTCAGAGCATCAGATGTAGCTCTTGACTGCTGAGACTGAATGATAAATGCCTTGCATAGGCTCAGGGGTCCAGGAGCCCCATTTACAACAATAGGTACAGATCCATTTGCCAGGAGGATTTCTAGTTCAGGGTTATAGCCACTGAATAGAGGAGAGGCCTTGCTCAGGAACCCCTCCCTTCAGCTCCTGTACACGAACCGAGGTGGGCCAGGCTGGAGCTCTGAGCTGCAGGCCTTTCCTCTTAGTGTATATGCTCTGCACACTGCACTCAGCTTCATGAGGGGACGGGGCAGCGCTTCTACTCAGCGAGGTTTCCAGCTATCTTTAGGCAACTCAGGGATGGAAGCAGAGGTCACATTTGACAGAGGGCAGGGAGCTGGGCAGGTAAAGCCTATCCCGAGCTAGGGCATGCTGTGGTTTCTGTGGTCAGGGGCTCCTTCTGGGAGCAGATATAGGCCAGATCAACCTGGGACGTGATGGGTAAACAGAGTGTGTGTGGGTGTGTCTGTAGGTCTAGAGCAGGTTGAAATAACATAGCTATCTGGAAGCCTAGACTCCAAGCTTCTTTGCAGCCTGTGGACATGAGAGTAAACAAGGTCCCAATTCACACCCCATCTCTGTCAACCTGGGATGTGATGGGTAAACAGAGTGTGTGTGGGGGTGTCTGTAGGTCTAGAGCAGGTTGAAATAACATAGCTATATGGAAGCCTAGACTCCAAGCTTCTTTCCAGCCTGTGGACATGAGAGTAAACAAGGTCCCAATTCACACCCCATCTCTAACCCACAGCCTCCAGCAGCAGCAAGACTCTGGCTGTTCCATCTGCTCATAAGAATAGCTGCCACCAGCACCCAGGGGATGACTAGAGGCCAGACCACAGGTGAGTCCCCAGCAAGCCTTCTGGACAGCAGTCAGGAGTCCCGCCTTGCAGGGAGCATTCACAGGAACATGTGTTAGCCAAGGCATGGCTAGGGTTGGAGAACTTGACAAGGCTTATACACCTTAAGAGCTGGGACAACCACAGAGGCAACAAACAGAATGAATTCAGAAATGGAGACTGGGAAAGAGGAAAGATGACAAACCCAGAAGCCTGGGGGCGGGAGGGGAGGCTGTCCGCTCATAGGAGCAGCACGGGTGGTCCTGACTGTCTCCAATAAGGCAGTGACACCAACCAAAGCGGCCAAGGGATGTCAGGAGACATCCTCAGCAGGTCTCCCCATGTAAGAAAGGCCTATGACTGCCAAGGTTTGTGGTCACACCTAGATCTCCTCTGGGCTCTGCCCAGTGATCTCAGTCTAGTATTGGAGCTGGGTGTGTCATGATGCCCACCCTTTGCATGGCTGCAGGACCAGCTGACTTCACCTCTTGTCTGGTATCTAGTTGCCTGGTCAGCTGTAGTCTTTTAATGCCACCCAGCAAGCATCAGCCAGGAGGCTCAAGAGTTAGCCAAGTCCTTATGGGAGCCACTTATAACCTCCTGACTCCTAGAACCTGTTTAGTTCTATATCCCCAGGAGCTACGCGATCTGCTGCAGGGCTGAGTACAGACAGGATGCATGAAGGGGGCTCGAGGGGCAGCACTCAGAGGCTGGATCGCATCTGGACCATCAGGGTCTGG